AAATGTATAAAAAGCAAAATGATACTAACGAAAAACCAAAAAGTTAGTTGTGTAACTAAAGAGATAAGAGAAAGCTTCTATAGGCTTTCAATCATTTTAAAATAATTTTATCTATTCTTTTATTATATGACTAACAACACATAATACAATAGTTAATTAATTAAATAAAAGTAAAAATTAAGTTAAAAATAAAATAAATTGTATATAATTCAATAATACAATAATCAAATATAAATGACTTACGTTTCAAATGTAAAACGTTCTTCTACAGAATGATAAGATTTTTTATTTAAAAAAAAAATATATGAACATAGAACTAGTCCTTATTGCTTTACTTGTTTTTTCTCTTCTTATTTTCTTTCTTTATATCGCATTTACTACTATTACAGAGAAAACAATAAAAAATGGTATGTGAAAGGATAAACTTCTTTGTTCTTATCAGCATGAAACGGAATCTAAAGAAATAAGAAGAAAAAAACAAGTAAAGCAACATCAACGGATTGTATGTTTATTTATCTTGTTTTGAATAGGAAATTTTATCACTCTGTAGAATATTGTTTTACGTTTCAAACATCAGTTATTTACACTTGATTATTATATAGGTATTATTAAATATGTTATTTATTTTTTTTATTCTTATTTACTTAATACTTTATTATATGATACATTCTTAGTCAGTCTATGAAAGAAGAGATAAAATTATTTTAAAGTGATTCATACAATCTTCTTTAAAGCATAATGAATAGAATTCCAGCAAGCTCTATATTCATAATTTTTTTTAATAGTATTTTGTACATGGCACTGTACAGCTCACCGATTTCATTTGCCTCGACACTTTTTTACGCATAATTTTCACGATCATTTTGTTTTAAATGACGAATCCAATTCTACAAAACCACTGATCTTCGATATTCGTTTACGTTATGTATGGGGCCAAGACCGACTAGTTATTATGGATTCATTATTTCTTGAAAAAGTTCTTTACAAAGTTATTTGTCAAATAAAAGAACACTGTCGTATCCTTGGTTGGACAAGGAATCGAACAAATGTGACTGTCATAACTTCTCTCAATACGCTAGCGTGGTATCCATATCTAACAAGAGACAATCCTGACTTTTACAATGAACAAGCACGTGATGAGGCTGACGATATAATCAGATCCAGGGCATTATTACAACAACCACTGCTAATTTCAACCGAACTATTCGATGATGTATTAAACGTGACTTTCTTTTCTTCAGAGAATAAGTATACAATTGCTTATGGTACACATTATGTTGTAGCTAAGATCGAGAACTTTGATCGTAGTACGCCAAAATATATTGATAACGAAGATTATATTTTGGAAATCGTCGAAGATATTGATCCAAAGGTTGATCCTGCGCTTCTAATTAGCATCTGTATTTCCATCGACTACATTGAATGGCCCTATTATCTGTCCTCAACTTGATTTGACTACAAATGCCACTTAATTTTATTGTTTTGAAAAATTTGACATTAATTCTTATTTACTGGGTGGGTGGGCGTGGATTGATGTGAATGTGCGTTTGGATGTTGTAATTCGAATAGATGTGGAGTCGGTTTGTGTGTGCTGGTGCATGTGACTGTGGGTGTAGATGAGGAATTGATACCTACATGCGCTTGCACACTCACATCCACTCATATCGACACCTTTTTTCAAAGAGAGACTACTTAGTTACATTAGAAATTAATTGCAATAAAAAATCGATTAAATTTATTAATCTTGCTTATTAAATTTCGATTTTATAATGAAACAAAAGCCATATTAACATGGTTTTTAAGTGACTAAAGTGGTCTACAGCATACATGAATGATAGCGATGATTTCTTTTCGACATCTTAGCCTTGAGAAATGAGAGGGATCAGGTAACCAACCTAAATATCGCTCACCACAGAGTACATTAACATTGGTTATGCGGCTTCGGCTTACTGTGGTAAAAAAAAACGGCATGAGAAACCAGATTAAACCTGATAATTTTCCGAAAAAATTGATAATAATTATATGCCTGTTTTTGATGAAACTGAATAATTCAAATGATTACAATGGATTTCTACGGACGATAATCAATTAAAACATCAATCGATTATAATAGATTCTAAGAAGGGTGTGGGTGTGGATGGCGGAGTGTGTGGATGTGACTAAAAACGAAATTGACACTCACATTCACACCGACACCCACACCCAAATTTTGTTAGAACATCGTTGTTAGGAAAGCTGCCCCTAATAACGACGAATAGAATTCTTTATCGTAGACCGCTGATTTCCTCCCACTGTACAATGAAGAAAGGCCGCGGTCAGACCATTCGAAAGAAGAACATCCAAGGTTTATCCAAATATAAAAACATTTTCAATTGCCTATGAAATAACTGAGTACGGAGTTAAACAACACAAGCGAATCTTTTCGCGTCGTTATTAGGGTATTTGACTGTATATTTATCTCTTGGTACAGTTGAAACATGCTATATTCTACCTATCAGAGATGCCCATCACAGCTGAGAATCTGTCGCCACCGTGATGATTTAAAAAAAAACCTTTCGAAAATTCCTGCTATCACTGTACAGAACTAGCACTGGCGGTCTCAATTCATGAGATTCATTAGGACTTGAAACAGGTCGGGTGGGCCAAGTTGTTTGTCGAGCCGGCTCGGTTCGACGTTTTTATTCTTTTTTCCTACTTTTTATCAAACTTTATATCTATCATAAGTGATAAAACTTTCTAAAAACGTTTTATGGTAGGAAATCTATGTGGATTTCAATCTGAGTGCTATAATAAACCATAGTAATTGCTTCAAATGATCGTATCTTTCAGCCACATGCAATGTTCTGTAGTATATGAACTACGTTAATTAGTGTACGGGATATGATCGAGAGAAAAAATGTGTCAAAAACAAACCATTGTTGAAAGTAGAAAGAGCAAATAACTATTATCTAACTGCTTAACTTTAGTTAACAAATGAATCCATCGGAAGTATATCACTTTCTGGAAACAGGGCAATTCAATAGGTTTTGTGTCATTTTCTTGAGAGAAAGCTTTTTCTCGATTTTGGCTCTCTAGCGAGACAGCACCTGGTAGAAAATAGTCTGGATGTGAAAAGAAAAATTTTGATGTTGAGAACTTAGGGAACTAGCAACTTCATCCATATTTAAAAGCCAGATTGTCCCTGAAGAATGACCCGGATCTTCAAACTCTAGATATCAAAATTTTGCATTCGCGCACATAGACTATTTTCGATCGAATCCTACTCCAATGAATGGTTAAAATAAAAAAAGAACTTTCATCCAAAAATATGGTACACTTCGCATGAGTTTACTCTGATACAACATTTTGTACCAAAGGATGTCGAGTTATGCACAATGATTATTATTGAGGTCAAATAGATGTCAACATGTTTTGTTTGTTCATTTGACTCAACAAGGAAATTAACTTATCTTCAATGAATTTCTTTTTCAATTTTGGTGATTATAGAAGTTATCTCCAATTCTGTTGAGAAAACGTCTTTGTAAAAGAAATATCCTTCGAGTCTGGGTCGAGGCGGAGTGAACTAAAGTTGAAATGAGCCGGGTGAACCTAAACAATACGTGAGGCATTTTGGGCTGGGCCACGAAAAAAGTGGTCGATTTTGAGCCCTGAGAATCATCTGGTCTCTGAGTGTCACACTCATGAACAGACAGCTTCTGTGCAAATCCATGAAATTTTGCAATGTCTCACAGAAAGAACTCACCGCCGTGATGATTATTAACAAAGAATGCCACTACCGTGCCGCCACGATGGACATCTCTGCTCTCTATAGATAAATTCATAGATTTAGATGAATCCCAATAGTCTCTTTTTTGTATATGTATCGGATATTGCTATGATGGAACGCAAAAAAAACGTTTTACTTGAAAACAAAAAACCCTTCAGAAAAATACTTAGATCTCTTATTTATAAACATACCAAATCTAAAAAAAAACGGAAGGTCAAACAAAAACTAGATGATGATACTTTTCTGCATAACAAAGTATCAATAGACATTTTTCATAGATTATAGGGTGTCCAGGAAGTCACTAGAGTTAGAAAAAATTTCACATCTCTCTGCTACGGCTCGAGCAAACAGGCTAGTTTTTCTACCAATAATAGAAGCATGTTCACACTTTAAATCCATACAGACAAGGTTAGAGAGCCTTTGTTAAGTACCACCAACGACCTCAACAAAAAAAATTTTACTTTTTCACAGATAGGAAAAAAACACTATACGGAGTGGCACAAAAGTCACTTTGCCGCAAAAAAATTGAATATCTTCACTATGGCTCGAGCAAAAGAGCTGATTCTTTTATCAATGATAGAGGCATGTTCAAGCTTTATATTCATAAAGACATGTCTAGAGAGATCCTTTATTAAGTCTATTGTTTTTTTTCTTATCTGTGAAAAAGTAAAATTTTTTTTGTTGAGGTCGTTGGTGGTACTTAACAAAGGCTCTTTCTAACCTTGTCTGTATGGATTTAAAGTATGAACATGCTTCTATTATTGGTAGAAAAATCAGTCTGTTTGCTCGAGCCGTAGCAGAGAGATATGCAATTTTTTCTAACTCTAGTGACTTTCTGGACACCCTATATTTCATACATACAAAAAAAAATTTAAAAGTATTATTTATTTAATATTTTCAGTTAAAAAAAAACACCAAGTGTCGGTTTGGTTGGCTTCCATTAATTCAATACTAATTAAAAGTTGATGATTAATAAACGTTATTCTAAATTCCAAGTCCTAAAATATTTTCAGAGAAACAAAATTTATCAGTAATCAATAGCAAAGAAAAAACTTCAGTGAAATTTATTCAGCAATAGAGAATTTGTAAGAGCTCAAGTGTATGCACTTTGTTTCGTCAAGATTAAACCAATTAGAGTACAGACCATAGAAAATTGAAAATATATTACAGTGGAGTAAAAAACTTCAACTGATCTGATCACCTCGAAATATAGGATCCGAGAAAGACAAGTCTCTCAAAATTCTTCTATAGAATAGAATTCTATGATAATAAGACAAAGTTCAATTAACATACAAAACAATTCTGAATCTCGACGAGATCGTTTCGGCATTTCAATATCATCACCACCAATTTTTCTAATTCCATTCATTAAACATTCCAAATATTCAAACATATCATCTTGCTAGAAAAATTTTCATTTAAACTATTTTAATAGATCACTTATAGAGAATAGATTACGTGATTCTGTATTGTTCGAACTTGATATTCAAGTATTTTTATCTTATTCAATACAATTTCTTGTGGAGAAGAGCTAAAAAACAGAATAAATCAATTAGAGAGTTCTTTTTTTGAAATTATATTTAACATTTTTTCTTCATCAAAATCCATTTGATGATCAGATTGTTTTCGATCAATTTTAGAAACAAAATAGTAAACTTCATTTCCCAATGCATCTTCAATAGCTTCAATATTTCTTATTAATCTTATATCAATCACTATACCTATCAAAAATAAAAAATATATATATAGAATCATTTTATTAATTTAATCTGTTTTTCTTCTCGTTCTTACTAAATTTTTCTTTATTTTTATATTTAATATATCTTAATTTAAACCATTTTGATTGAACGTAATGTGAAAAAAAGTAAAGTGTTCCTCGCCAAATATGCGATATAAATATAAATGGTGGCGGAAGACATGGACGTGTTAAATGATAACATACTAATGAATAATGTTGAAATTTCCATATACAATCTGTATCTGCTTGTAGACGATTAAATGTATTACTAAACATTTTCATACAAACAATGTAAAAAAAAAATAATAATTAAATCAATTTTACTCAAAGAAAGTCTTATCATAAATAATCAAACTCATTTTTGTATTTTATGTTCATTCAATTACACATACAATTCCAAATGGATGACAGTCTTAAAAATGATTATATCTGTAGTTTTTTATCAAGAGATAGAATCTCTCCAGTTTTTGATGACCGACACAGATCTAAGTAGGTTAGACTGTTCTCTTGATAATATCAATCGATTCTTAGATTGGAACTTTGTTTTATAGTAGACTGACGCCAATTACAAACTTTATAAAATACAAACGATACTATACAATTAACCTCAATAGAAATGTTGGAATACCATCTGTAATAGAAGCAGCAAAGAAAATAAATTAGACCGACCGAAGCAAAATTTAATCAATAGAACATTTCATTTTGAAATAAATTACCTAAACATCGCTATAAGAAGATTAATTAAAAGAACATTTCCAACTGTCATATATGAAATGAGCAATAGAAATACAATATAACCACTTATTGCATAATTTTCTAAAAAAAAGAAAAATGATCTATTCATTATCAATCTTTTAATCTTCGTTACTCTCGATTTCATCCAATATTTCCAATTCACCAAATATTTGCCAATAAGCAATATTTAATATACTACGTGGTAAATGCCAAGAAAATTCTTCTACACCATAGATTAAACTATAAGCAGGAACACCAAATGCAAATATAAATACAGTTAACATTAACATAAAAAATTTCAGATCATGAACCTTATTTTCATAATATAGAATAATTTAATCAAAAATAAAATAACAAAAATCTATTCTATTTACCATTTCACCAATCATAACAAGTTTTGGTCCAAGTCTTTTTATAGCAGAAAACATATCAAGTGTTCTTATAAACCAAATAGATAAATCAATAGCTAAAATAATTCGTGCACCACAAAAACAATCACTCGATTGAATATATCGAAGAAAAATTGCAAGAAAAAATAATATTACAGATAATATATCTAATTTATTCCAAAATATTGAAAAATATCCCAATATCTTTCCATTTACTGTTTTTAATTCCATTGACATCATCTTATTAGAGAATAATTAAATCATTTAAGAAAAAAAAAACAAATTCTTCTTCTTTTTACTTGTCGAATTTCTTCACAAAATAATGTAAACATCCATAATGTAAGGATTAATTCAGTTGTTGATGGTCGAGAACGAGGATGAAGACTATATCTTAATGA